GGCACAGCTACTGCAGAACACCAAACACACGAACCGCCAATAAGTGAATGCTCCAAACACCCAAACTGCATACAAGGGAATGCTCCAAACACCCGAACTGCATACAAGGGAATGCTCCAAACACTCGAACTGCATACAAGGGAATGCTCCAAACACTCGAACTGGAACCTCACGAATAGCTGCTAGCAGACAAACAGGAAAAGCACCCAAGCGGCTTACACTCCTGGCAATCAGTCTCTATCAGCATACAGTAAATCCCCCCAAAGACGAGACAGAGCAGGTCTCCCACCTGGTGGACACTGTAACAAAAGACAGACATGTACCAATTACAGACATACAGAAGTAAAACATCCCCACAATGCATCCTGGCTTCCTCCCCTCTGCCCTGGAGAAGTAATTCAATTATCTCCCAGGACAAAGGCACAACTCCATTACACATGTGGGGACACAAAGACAGACTATCACTTTAAAATACATAATGGGACAAATGGTACAGTAAATATATACATGTAACATATCCCCAGATAGCTCAGGTCTGAGTGCACATTATTAGGTGAATGGCACTCAGACCACACAAATACAGTTTAATTGCCATGGAGCCAAAGTCTTTAATTCCACGAACAGGCTCCATGGCATAGCTATCTGGGTTAAAACAGTCCTCCAACATAAAATTTACATGCATTCGTTAAATCCGTACGAATTAGAACCAGGGGTTGGAGGTTCAGCGGTGCCTGCACGTAAAAGTGTCCGGGTTTGGTGCAGGAAAGCCGGGCAGAAAAGCGCTGGCTGCCCGGGGAGCTCCAGAACACCGCCATCGTGTGGCGGCTAAGTGTAACCGCGACCACCCAGTAACAATCAATTAAGCTGCGGTTAACCGCAGCTACTGGGTGGTCAATTGCCGGCACACCCTCGTTAAGCCGCGGTTAACCGCGGCTTCAGGGAGGTAAATGGAGGGCGCACTCCAGCTTCTGGGTGGCCAATTAAGGTCGCCGGACGGCTTCCCACGGCTCTGGGGAGGCTGATAGAAGTCTGTTTGTTCGGTAGATAGAATCTAAATCCATCTGCACAGTAGAATTAACCCTTTAGCTGCCAGTCCATAATCGAAAGGCAGCAGGTGGGCAACCAGGCTCCTCCAATGCAATGTGGCGAGATTGGTCTCGTCACAGGGGGTGAAAGAGGCTTTCCCCTGCCGGCAGATCTCCTTCCCCGTTCCACAGGCAGCCGGCAGGGGAGGAAGAGAGGACCCGGGGCAACGCTCCAGCTCTCACGACGGTGAACTCTAGCCCTGGAGCTACGGGCTAGAGTTCACTCTCACCACTTCCTGGTGGTCGCAGTAGTAGGAGTGAACTCTAGCCCCATACACACACACACACACACACACACCATACTCATTCACACACTGCCCCCACACACACACACACCATACACATTCACACAGTGCCCACCCACACACTGAACCTTTCACACACATTGCACCACTGCTCCTATACCCTACTACAGCCCCATATCCCAGCAGACTCCAGGTAAGTTGTCATACTGTTTTTAAACGGTTTGACTACTTACTCTGGGAGGGGGTGCCAACGCTCCTGGCACCATAACACTACACAGAGGAGTAGTGGTTATTGTGCATGGAATATATCTTTAAATAATCTATAAGTGCCCCTCCCGGGCTCAGGCTCTGGATCCGCCACTGGTATATGACATGTATATTAATGTGTGTATTAGTTATATTTACACATATTAATGTACATTTATATATGCATAATACACAGAGAAATTGCATTAATATGTACCTTATGTAATGAGCAGGTATTGGCCCAGTCTTGTTGCTAGGTGCATACTCCAGCACAATAACATATTTAAAGTGAAGAGCACACCCACAGGACTTCAAAATAAAAATTTTTTACAGTTGTGCCCTACATACATTCACCATTTCAGTCCCATTAACAAGCTTTCCTTAATATGTCAAGGTAGTTGGACTGAAACATTGATTACATGCAAAGGCACGTCTGCTTAAAATAAATCTGCACTTTTGTTTATTTTGAAGCCTATGAGTGCGCTTTTTACGTTGAAGTACTTTTTAATTTTAAGTTATCTGTTCTAACTCTGTATCTGCACACTATGCTGGCGTGACACATTATGGGGCTGGTAAATATTTTTTTTCCAGGGCTGCTTTTAATTCCCAGTCCGGCCCTGGCAATACTCCCTGGAGAGGTGGTAATATAAAAATATATTTTAGGTAGATCAGAAATGGAGTGGGTGTTCAATCTGCAAACCCTAGCTGCTTGTGGTCTAAATGCAGATTTTGACATATATAACTTTTTTATAATGTTTTGATGGTTTTTAATTTCCCTCTTAGTGCTCCTTTTTTATTTTTTAAACTTCTCTTCTATGTATTTTACCTAACTCTAGTTTACCCTAGATCTTTGGTTATACCTATTTTATGTTACAAGTGCCTTTTATTATAAGTACTTTTTATCTACTAGTGATACTATGATGCTATTATGTTTTCCATTTATATATGACTCCTTATATCTATCTGGATTTGTGTTAGTTATTATTTTATATATGTGTCCAATCCCCTTTTTTCCCCTTATAGCCAATATTTCTGTGTTTTCCCCACTTCCAAGATGGCAGCCACGGCTATCATAGCTCCATACCTCCTCAGTACTATGGCCGCTCACTGTTTTTAGCCCTCCCTTCCCCCTCGAGTATGGAGGCCGCGATCTTCAGCCGCCCCACTTAATATGGCATCACCGGCACTTGCTGGGAAGAACACCCAGCTTCCCATCAAGGCCACTTTCTGACGTCGGCTGATGCTTTTTGCGCGCAGACGTCAGTAGAAACTACAGTTCCCATGCGGACATGCACTGATGATGCGCGAGTTTCACGCGTCACGTGTTTTTTTTTTTTTTTTTAAACTCACTATTTTTCTTTATAAAAGCCTCATTTTGGTATAATTTTATTAAAAATAAAATCTGTATTACCTAGATTTACTAACAACTAAGCTTTTAGTTCATTTTTAAGTGTAATTACTATTTTTAATATAATTGGCTTTCCTTATTCTTGGTGCCAAATTTAATTGCCCTTATCCCTTTTGAAACCCACCTTGCCAGGTTACATGCTGTATTCCATTTGAAAAAGCCGTATTGGCGAAACATGTATTGGATATTTTAATTTCTGTATATCTATTAATAAATGTTATTTGGTCACCTGTTTGTGCCAATCATCCTTTTTTTTTATATACACTTTTATCTATTTACTTTTTACCTTTTACCTGGCATTTTATAACCCTGGACTCCATCCTAGGTGGGGATCATACCACCAACGCTGACATCAAAGAGCAGTTAGTCTGCTCTACACTTGTGAGTAGCATTTTATCTATTACATATAACTTTTATACTGTGAGCACTATCAGTTGTTTTTATCTATCCTTTTCTTGAGTATCGGGCATATCTCGCACGGAGGATACATGCTGCATATCCCATAAGCAGGGATTATACCGCTGTATGCCCTTCACACTAGAGCTGGTTATAGCTCTTTGAAATGTGAGTTTATTAAGTATCTTCTTTTAGTCACTCCTTCAGATTGTACATATCGCACTATTTGTTGTCCCTGTCTTTTATCTTTCATATAAGTTGAACATTTGGATTAAGAGCCATTGAGGACATAACATCCCAACAAGCTCCCATAAAGACATTTACTAAAGTGAGATCCTCTTTTTTGGACTAATTTGTCTATATTCTGGAGAGTTATCTCTTTTTACTGTACGTGTGTACAGCCTTTACTCCTACTCTGCTGCCGTTTACCTATTGGTAGGAGTTATTGTCTTTTTTGCTGTTTTTACCATATCTGGTGCAGCCCTTTCTCTCTTTTGTATTGTATGTTCCTTATCTAAAGGGTTAGAGGGTTCCCCTTTTGTTGGGCCGCTGCCGGTCTTATCTATCTATCATTAACACTGACCCTTTTGCACCTTTTTGTTTTCTCATATACATAAAGCTAGTTATTTTAGGAGATACAAGAAAAAAGGAGGCAAAGCTTTGGAATGTAAAGCATGGCAATATTCTAATAAGCAATGATAAAAGTTTATGGACACATTTGAACAACATAGAAATTGCATCACAAAGAGGCAGCCTGCAAAACACTCTTAAGTGTTTTGCCGGCTGCCCCTTTGTGATGTGATTACCATGCCTGTCAAATTAGAGCCAAGTTTTTTTCATAGCTCAGAACACTGCCTTTGTGTGCTTTTCTTTCTGAAGCCCTTAGTGTTTCTTGTGCTATTTAGGATTTTTCCCTGGCAACCAGTTCTGCGGAGCCCAGTAAGTTGTCCTTTAAATAAGATATGTCTTTTATTTTTTTATGGCTGTTGTCCAATATATTTTGCATATATGATCAAAGATTTAAAAGTTATTTAGGAATTAGGCAGATCCTATACTTCATGGAGCTATCTCAAATTCTCGCTAATATTGGTGGACTTCATCTCTCCGATTATGCTCATCGATATGCCCCACACTAGAGCCATGATACAAACATGCCACTTTTCTGTCTCTCATCCTACAGTAAAAGAGCACCCACAGTCACCAAAACCCCATATTTACTCCTTCCCTTTAAATCACATAGTATACTAAGACTACATTGCTAAATGTGCTGCTAAAAACAAAAAAGTGGTCTGTCGTGTCTCATTGCTAACAAGAGCAGCTTCATCAGGGACCTATAATAGTATATTGTATTTATTTCTGTAATTTGATCACTGGCCTCCGGTGCAGGGTTTTGCCTCACAATTGTGGCATCCAACCATGCCAGCCAATCAGTGTGAGTAACTGCATGTCAGAGGGGAGGAAGAACTGATGGATAATATGACGGTGTTGAAATTAGCTTATCGGAATGTGTGGAAGAACCATCTACAGTGGAAGGAGGAAGAGTGAGATGTGCTATGGAGGCGAAACAGAGAAGGGCAACTGCAATGAGAAGATGGCCCCCAAGAAAGTGATAGGCTCCCCCAAAGAGGTGTGTTTTTAGTGACTTCTCATAGGACTGGAGGCCAAGGGAGAGTTTGATGGTGTGGGGTAGGTAATACGGGGAGCCCTTAAAAAATTATGCAGATAAGAGTCGGAAATGCGAGAACGAGCAGCTGTCAAAAGAAGTTTGCTTGCAGAGCAAAAGGAGCAAGAATGGTGTATTTGTTAAGTAAAAAGGAAATATAGTGAGGAGTGGAGTTATTGAGGGCTTTGTTGGTAAATGTCAGCAGTAATTGGATCCTGAATGGTACAGGAAGCCAATGTAGTAATTGGTGAAGGAGTGAGGTGCTGGAGTAGCAGTCATTCAGGAAGATGAGCATGGCTGCAGCATTCATTATAGTTTTAAGAAAGGCAATGCAGATATTTAGAAGTTCAGCAGTGAGTTGCAGTAGTCAAGTTAGGAAATGATAAGTGTAGAAACAAGTGCCTTAGAGGTATGTTAATTTAGAAAAGAGCAAATGCAGGCACTATTTTTAAGATGAAAGTTAGAGGAAGCCAACTGGATGTGAGGAGAAAAGGTAAGACGTGAGTCAAAGGTAACTCCAAGGCAGCAAGCTTTAGAAGAAGAAGGGGGCAATAGGTGCCCTCTTGATGTGCAGGGAGACAGATGTCTCAGACAAAGAGTGCAGTTTGAGAGGGTTAAAGATGACCAGTTTTAGAAAGATACAATTTTAGATAACAGAAAGGCATCCATTTAGGAATGGACACGTTCTAAGAAGGTAAGAGAGAAGGTGGGACAGGAGAGGTAAATATGAGTATTGTCACCATATAGATGGTATTGAAATCCAAAAGTTTATAAGGTTACTGAGAGAGGCAGCATAGGAGAGGACCAGGAACAAAGCCATGGGAAACAATAACTAAGATGTGCAGTGGTGAGGAGGTGGCATTAGAAAAGGGGACACTAAATGAAAACCAGGAAAGTACCTTGTTCAATGTTGTGGAGGGTTGTAAGAAGAAAAGCATGGTCAACAGTATGAAAGGCAGCAGTGAGTTCAATGAGAATTAGAAAGAGTAATGACGTTTGGATTTAATAGATTACTAACTTTGCTAATGGCAGTATCAGAGCAGTGTGGAGGAAGCAAAGGCAGACTTAGTATTGAGAAAGTATGTTAAATGGGTAAACACAAGCCACTCAGTAAGCTTAGAAGTGAAGGTGAATAGTGATATGGGACAGTAGTTTGACGGATAAGTGAGGTCAAGAGATATATTTTTTTAGGATGGGATTGATGATTGTGTGCTTAACCCCTTAAGGACCAAACTTCTGGAATAAAAGGGAATCATGACATGTCACACGTCATGTGTCCTTAAGGGGTTAAGGGAAGATGCCAGTAGAAAAATTATTTGAAACTATGCGTTATGGATGGGGAAAGACATTGGATAAGGTGAAAGGGGAGAGGGGATCAAGAGGACAGAATAACTTTAGAGAACTCATGTTGAGAGACTGGATTTAAGAATTGAAAAGTGAAAGATGGACCAGAATGGAAGCTGTGGAGGGGAGGAGGAAAGAGTGGAGTGATGGTTACAAGAGGAGGGTTTGCACAAGGGATCTGCAGCATGTGCAAGATTTTTTTATTTCATATATACCATTGGGCATGTCCATGGGGTATATATGTACTAAAATGTTTTGTTTTTGTTTTCTGAACAGTGGAATGTCCCTTAAATGATTGTGTTTGAACCTATAAAACTGTTTGTTATAATTGTTTAATCACACCATGACTATACAGTTAGGTCCAGAAATATTTGGACACTGACACAAGTTTTGTTATTTCAATTGTTTACCAAAATAAATTCAAGTTAAATGATTAATTTGAACTTGAAGTGTGGTTTCTCACCTTTAATTTGAGAGTATTCACATCCAAATTGGAGGAAAGACTTAAAGCTCTTTAATATGTTGCCCCCCTCTTTTTTAAGGAACCAAACATAATTGGACAACCGACTCAAAGGCTTTTCCATAGACAGGTGTGGGCTATTCCTTCAATATTTCTTCATCAGTTAAGCAGGTAAATTGTCTGTAGTTGATTTCAGGTGTGGCATTCGCATTTCGAAGCCGTTGTTGTGAACCCACAACATGCGGTCAAAAGAGCTCTCAATGCAAGTGAAACAGGCCATACATAGGCTGCAAAAAAAAAGAAGCATTAGGAGTGACCAAATCAAGTTTGGTACATTCTGAGAAAAAAACATGCGAGAATGATGCTAGAATACCAAAACAAAAAATGTTTTTAGGTAATTAATTTTTTTCTAATATTTTAAAGAGACACTGTAGACACCAGTGCAACTACATGTATTCCTGACCCTATAGTGTTAACACGACCATCTAGCCCCCCCTGGGCCCCTCATGCCTCCAAAAATATAGTAAAAATTTTGCTGTATTCAAGTCAGAAGCTGTAAATCTGCATGCTGTTAGACTCAGGAAAAACAACTAGTCTGCTGACATGTGATAGCCTGATTCAATCACAGTGCTTCCCCATAGGATTGGCTGAGACTGACAAGGAGGCAGATCAGGGGCAGAGCCAGCATGATTAAAACACAGCCCTGGCCAATCAGCATCTCCTCATAGAGATTAACTGAATCAAGGAATATCGATGAGGAAAGTTCACTGTCTGCATGCAGTGGGAGGAGATACTGAATTGCAGGATGAACGTGCACAGCAGATCTGAGTAGATGGAAGCATATTATACCTCACTCTGAGTGACTGCAACTGTAGGTGTTCCTAACTTTCAATGTAAACACTGTATTTTCTCAGAAGTTGTTCCGGTGACTAAAGTGTCCCTTTAATGTCCATGAGTCTGTAAATATAATTTCCCCATAGCACTATAGAAAGCCTATTGTTGTTTACAGGTTGCCATGGTAATG